CTTCTGCCAGGGCATGCCACGCCCTGCACCTCGCACGCGGCTTCTGGCTTCCTCCTTCGTCCTGGCTGGGCGCAGTGGATCGCCTCCAGCCCTGGTGTGTCGAAGCCGCCCGTCGCCCCGAGGAAGGCCTTTCCTTCCTGCGGGGCCTCCTCGATCCGGGCCGTCGCCTGCTTCGTCGGGTCGTCCGCCTGCTGGATGCGGCCCGGCCCCTCCTGCGCGATGCCGTGGATGCGGGCCCCCTCCTTCGCTCTCAAGTCCGCTTTGACGTTCGCCGCGCGCTGGCTGTCGGAGATGATGCCGTCGCTGACGTCGTACTCCTTGCAGCGGGCCTTGACCCTGACAGCGCTGACGCTCTGCTCGCCGTGATCCTCATGCCAGCCGCCAGAGCTCCAGCCACAGCACTCTGCAACCTCTCCTCCGCTCGGTGCACCACCGCTGCCCAGTTTCCGTGGGCGAATCGGTGCACGCGATGCTGGGGCCCAGGCAATTCCTGAGGGCGATGACTGCCGCGTGCAGCTCCCCCGCCCCGCTGTCCTGCGGGAGCGGCCAGGGCACATTCCCCCCGAAAGGCCGTGCGCTCGGAGTCGTTCGCCCGCGTCGACACCGCCGCCCAGCCAGCTCTGGCCAGCTGGCGGCCTCTCGAGCAGATGACGGGTCTGTCCAGGAAGACCTCCGGAGCTCCTCCTCGGGAGCGCTCCAGCCAGCAGCCAGGGGGCGGAGCCAGCCGCGGGGGCGAGAAGCCCCAGAGAGGCCCCAAACAGCCGCGATCTTCGAAGTTCGGATCTCGATCCTCGAAATTCCTGGGCCTTTCTCCTCTTACGCAACCAACGAGGCGATTAACCATGCTGTTGCCAGGGCTACTGCCTGCCCTCTCGAGGATTCTGTTGCGGGAGGGCAGCGGCGCCTCGCGCCTCTGGTCCGCAACGAGCCCCCTCGACCAGGCTGGGTGCTCCTCGCTGCTTCCCGGGGGCTCTGCCCCGGGCTCGCGCAGCACCGCAGAGGCGGGAGGCTCACCCTGCGGCATCTTCCTCGGGCCGCCTGGGGCGGAGCACTTACGGCAGGTGTCAGTTCGTGCCTGCCTCCTCGCAGCCCCAGGAGCACCTTGCCGAAGATGCCATGGGTGGGCTAGCCCTGGCTCGGAGCGCCACCGGCCAATTGCGACGACGACGACTACGACGACGACGAGGAGGATGATGGCGATAAAGATGACGATGACGATGACGATGATGATGATGCTGCTGTTGCTGATGATGCTGCTGGCGATGATGACTTGATGATGCTGATGCTGACGATGATGCTGATTACGATGATGCTGATGATTATGCTGATGATGATGACGACGGTGATACAAATGATGCCATTGGCAATGCCAATGACAATGACGATGACGATGATGATGACGATGCTGATGATGATGATCATGATGATGATGACGATGATTCTGCTTACGACAATGATGATGCCGATAACGATGGTACTGGTGATGCTGCTGCTGCTGATGAGAATCATGATGAGTGAGGATGACGATGCTGATTATTATGATAATGCTGGTGACGATCATGATGGTGATGCTTGTGATGATGATGGTGGTGATGATGATGCGGGGTACGATCAATCATACAAATGCTTTGTTTTGTTATGCTTTTGTTGTTTGGCAGAGCCCGGAAGCCTCTGGATGCCTCTGGGAGACTCTGGAGTTGTCCAACAACTTCTGAGGACGTCACGAACCTTTGCGGGTAAGGGGGGGAGATGGGGAGGAGGACGAGGAGAAGGATGATCTCTACAATCAGTATAGCCAACAAGCCACAGTGGCTCCACGAGCTCTGAGACTGCGAGCCGCAACAACAAAGCTGCCCCGAGGAGAAGGTCGGGACCTCGCAAAGGGGTGGGCCACAGGGTGGGTGGGTGAATTCGGTCCGCTGGCGCATCAAACCGCAGAAAAACTATGTAAAACGAAATCTCCAGCCGCCGCCGGAACCCGAGAGGTGTCGACAATCGGGGCGCGCGGGGGGCATCGTTTTTCGGAAATTCGATGCGTCAGCGGATCGAACTCACCCCCTCAGGGCCCCCCCCCCATTTGGTGGACCCCGAGGAGGATGGGAGGAAACGCAGGAGAAACGAAAGGGCCACGGAGGAGGACGAGGAGGAGGAGGAGGCAGAAGATGAGGCCTCCCCTCTCGATTCTGGATCCTGACCAAGCCGATGGAGCAAATCCTGGGCTTCGGTCGGGCATCTCCCCCTACAGGCGGATTTTTGGATGACAATTTTCAAACTACCCCACACATGCGTAAACGTAGACAAAAAATGAGCAACAAATCGTCCGCATACAATTGGTTTGACTATTTGGGAATACTTCTCCAGTAGAGGGACACGCCCGACGTCATCCTGGGCGAGGAAGGCGTCATTGGAATGTGGCGGACATGAAACACACATCCTGCGGCAAGTCGTCTAGGAATATTTTCGCCGTCGAGCGTTGAGCCCCCTGTGGTGTCGGGCGTGTCCCCTACAGGGGGATTGTCGACGAACAATAAAAAATACCCCAAACCTACCCCAACACGGTCAACAAATATCCCCAAAATTGTCCCCAGACTATTATTGGATTAGTTTTTGACTATGTTTGGGGTACCTTGTATTTTTCGTCGGAACTCCCCCTGTAGGGGAACAGGCCCGCCTTACAACAAGAAGCGTCCGTGGGGGCATCTGCTGGTGAGTGATCCGATTTCCTGGTTGACGCGCCCGCTGCGCGCTGACGGCGACGACGACGACGACGACAAAACGCCCTCCGAGGAAAGGCCCTCCGAGGAAGCCATGCTGCTTGTCCGCGTCTTGCCGCCTCTCTGGAAGAGGCCTCTCTGGAAAGAGGCCTCTCTGGAATTACCCAGCGGCCTCTCTGGAGGGGGCCTCCCTCTGGAGTGGGCCTCTCTTGGGGCACCTCCTGGGGCCGTGTAAGTACGTGCGGGCCGTCCGCCCTCACGGGGGGGGAGGGGAAGGGGGAGAGGGGGCGGAGGAGGAGGAGGAGGAGGAGGAGGAGGAGGAGGAGGAGGAGGAGGAGGGAACATTGGGAGGAGGGGGAAAACACTAGGAGGATGGGGAGGAGTTGGAGGAGGAGGAGGAGGAGGAGGAGGAGGAGGAGGAGGAGGCGGCGGAGGAGGAGGAGGAGGAGGAGGAGGAGGACGTGCAGGAGGATTTTGGCGTAGAGGTCGATGTCCTGCTCGCGGCCTCCAAGCGTTCCCCGCGGTTCTCCGCGGGGGAGGAGGAGGAGGGAGCATCAGGGAGAGGGGGAGGGGGAGGATTAGGTCGGGCGTGTCCCCCTACAGGTGTCTTCTGGAAGAAGAACAACAAGCCCCCCCCCCAAAAAATACCCCGCAAACATTCAAAACATGTCAAGCAATCGTCCCCAAACTATGTTTTGACTATTTTTGAATATTCCCCTTGCAGGGGGGACAGGCCCGACTTAGGGGTAGGAGGGGGAGGAGGAGAGGCAAGGAGGAGAGATGGGAGAAGGGGGGGGGGACGAGGAGGAAGGAGGGGGGAGGGATGAGGAGGCAGGAGGGAGGAGGGGGAGAGGACCCGAGAGGACGGGGCTCCGGGGGGCCTTCTGGATGCTGGCTCGGGCTGCCCTGGAACGGCCCTGGGCCAGAGCCAGGGCGGTCTTGGGCTGGGGCGGCCCCAAAGGCTGCCCTGGGCCTCCGGAGAGCGCTTCTGCGGCCGAGCGGAGGAGCATCCTCAGGGTCTCGGCCTCTACCCAGGCACGCGACTGCGTCCAGAGCTCCCCTGGTGCCCCGAGAAGGCCGACGACGCTGAGGCTGTTTTAGCACTTCCGGGGCCTCGTGGGGTGTTCTGCCCACGGCCAGACGCAGCTCGAAGAGGGGCCAGATGGCCTCGGGGAGGGAGGGGTCCAGGTGCAGCTCTTGAGCGGATGCTCGGCCCCGCCCCGACGCCCGCACGCGTCCCCGGGAGGTCGACTATGTGTTATCTTTGGGAGCGCTCCCATGTCTCCCAGCGTCTGAATACGAGCGGCCCTGCTTATGAGCGGCAACGTATGAGTGAGTCGACGAAACAAATTATCCTCGACCCTCCTCCTTCTCCTCCTCCTCCTCCTCCTTCACTTCCAGTCGACAACACGCAAGAAATGGCCCCTTTGCAAAAGTGGCATTTGGCGCGCGGCCTCAGGGTTGCGCGGGGGGGGGGGGGGGGGCAACACGCGTGTGCGCCAGCTGCAGCTGCCGCACTGCACTCGGCGATCAGGGTGCCCCAGTGGACCCGCGTAACCCAGACATCTGACGACGTGACTTTTTCCAATGCGCGGCCCCAGAGGTCCCGAATACTTCGCTGGGGCCAGGCGTTCGCCCTGGACCCACTCTTGATGGCCCTGGGGGCGAGGGTGTACTCAAAACAAATGGTCATCGGACGACGCTTGGGATTGGCAGCGACAGGCGTTTCAGAACGGCAGCCCTCAAGACCTATCAAGTTGAGCTCTGCAAGCTTATAGCCGAGTGCATGTAGCATTAACAATTGGACGTCAGGCGGGGAGTCTCGTACGAAGCACCCGCCGGGGACCGAAGCTTTCTGTGCCACTCGATCCGTTCGTCAGCTCTCAGGGACGCCAAAATTGTTCGAGAGCGGTTCGCGCCACTCGCGGGGTTGACGAGGCGCTTGGGGCACCATGGCGTGCATGCTGACACTTCAAGCGCCAAGGAACACACAGATCGTCGGAGATCTGGCAACATGGCCACTCCAGCACGGGCCCACTCTTACCTAACGTGTACAGGTCGGGTCACAACTCGGGTCTCCCGCGGCCGTTCGAGACGATTCGGCAACACCGAGAACGAACGCTCTCGGCGAGGCGCAACTGATGGAACGCACCCCAAGGACGGAGAACCGCCGGCGGCCGCCGAGAGGATGCAGGAAGGCCTGGGGCCCCGCTGTTTCGGCGGGGGGGCACTCTTGAGTACGTGCAGCCGATCCCGACCCACCCACCCCGAGAGGGGGGAGCGCGCCCGGCCGCGCGATGTCGGGGACCTGGGTCCAGAGCGCGCGGGTGTCGGGCAGGATCTTCCCCGCGCGGGCGGTAAAGCAGCAGGCGGTGGCCACGGGGCTGCTGAAGACCACGACCTCGGCGGGCGTCGCCGCCGCCGCTGCCCGGGTCGAGGGATCGCAGGCTCGAGGCCCGAAGATCGAGGCTCGCAGGGCGACGCTCGAGGATCGAGGGGTCTAGGGGTCGAGGGTCGACGGTCGAAGGTGGATGGTCGAGGCTCGGGTTCGAGGATTCATGGTCGAGCTTCAATCCCAATATCCTCCCCAACCCTGGGCGCATCATGCCAACGGTTGATGTGATTATGCTGCGTTTTAGCGCAATGGGAAACAAGTGGCCCTAGAGGTCAAACGGCGGCGAGTGGCGGCGAGTGGTGCATATACACACGTCGCGCATGCACTATCTCACAACAGAGTCTCGGAGCCGGATTAGGACGCAACTCCTTGGAAGTTCTCGTACAGAAAAACTAGAAGAGATGGAACCCGATTTCGACGGATTAAGCTGGAGGATCAAAACATCCTTGATCTTGTCGAAGGTGGTCGCATTTCCTGCGGATGTCAACGCCATCCGGTTTTCCGGGGGCAAGAGGCCTGCATGGTCCAGGAAAAGGAACCAAGCATATCGTCGCTCATCAAGATCTTAGAGACAAATTTCCACCAGCGCTTCCTTCGGGAGATGTACGAAACCATAAGAGTAACCGTGCTGTCGAAACATTGGTCCATATGGTCCCTGCCCCACCTGGAACAGGATCTTCGCTTCCTGCGCCTCTATGGGGAAGAGTGAAATACGAATCGCCACCACCGTCTGATCGATCCCATTCGGAATCAAAAGCACGTCCTTGCCGATATTCATGGCAATATCGGATGCGTCACCTCTGAAGTCTTCTACAACCTCGTTGAGCGCTGCGGTGATCACGTGTTGCTGTGGTTCACCCGTCTCTTGATTCACTGAGGCCAGTGCGGCATTCATGCGCATCTTTGCGCGGAATTCCCACCCGTGGAAGTTGTTCACCTTGCCGTCGTAGATGTAGGGGCCACTCTTCGTCTCGGACCGCGTCAGCGCGGCGCTCAGCCGATAGCGAAAAAAAATGCCATGGCGCAAGGCTCAGTCCCCTAGCGAAGGAAACTGCCAGTACGGAACGTAAGGAGAAATTGTGCGACACTCTCTGATGAGACGTGCGCGCAATGGTACGATACGGGGATCGTGTGGTAGCTTCGCTACCAGTGTGATTATGATGCGTTTTAGCGCAATGGCCAAAACACATGTTCCCTAGAGGTCAAACGGCGGCGAATGGCGGCGAGTGGTGCATATATACACGTCACGCACGCACTATCTCACAGCAGAGTCGCGGAGCCGGGTTAGGACGCAACTCCTGAGAAGTCTTCGCAAGAACTACTAAGAGGAGATGGGACCCGATTAAAACGGATTAAGCTGGACTCAGTCGCATTATGCTGGGTTGGGCAGGTTTCTGGCCACAGACATTTCCTCCAAGCAGATACTGAATTTAACCTGCCAGGAAGTGCATCCTAACCAACGGCAGTGTCGCGGAGGTGGATGCCAGCGCGTCCACCCTCGAGTTGCTATGGGGGAGCCCCCGCCGCCACCACTGCCGTCGCCGTCGCCGCCGCTGCCGTCCCTGTTGCCGCCACCTTCGACGCTCTCATCGCTGCCGCTAATGTCGTCGTCGTCGTCGCCATCGCCGTCGTCGTCGTCGTCGTCGTCGTCATCGTCGTCCATATTGTCATACTGGCCCCTCGGGGCAAGCCGGACTTTGCCGCCAGCCGATGATCGAAAGTCGAGAACGCCGCGATCGAGAAAGCTGCGCCGCCAGCCTCAGATTCAGCCCTTTACCCGTGGTTCAGGCCCCGAGGCCGTCAGAAGCCCATCCGGGACCGCCGCCGCCGCCTCCGCCGTCGTCGTCGCCGTTCTCCTCCCCCTCCTCCTCCTCCTCCTTCTCCTCCTCCTCCTCCTCCTTATGCCCCTCCTCCTCCTCTTCCTCCTCCTCTTCCTCCTCCTCCTCCTCTGGGAAAACCGAAAGGTACCGATACCGCTACTACCCCGACCGGACCTCTCCCCAGGTGCGTTCTGACCAGGATTTCGAAGTGAATCCTGCGGTGGCGACAAGGGCCTCCCAGGAGGCCCACAAAGTGGAAAAAGAGGGAGGTGTAGCGGTATGGATACCTTTGCCTCCTCTGATCTTCCTCATCCTCTCCTCCTGCTCCTCCTGCTCCTCCTGCTCCTGCTGCTCCTCCTCCTCCTCCTCCTCCACCTGACTTCGACTCCAGCAGATTCGGGCGGGCGCTCTGGGCTTCGTGAGCGCGTGCGCGAAGGGGAGCGGAATGCACGGGCCGCAGCGTCAAGCGGGCTTTCATCGCGGAACTTCCTGCCGAGGGACTCGGGCTGATCAACCACACGCCTTGCAGGGAGGAGTACAGATGAGGTTATCATTAGGTCGGGCATGACCTCCTACAGGCGGTAATCAAAAACATCAACGATAGTCGAAAGAGCACGAAGCATCGTTACCAGACTGTTTTTCCTATGCTTGACTGTCCCTCCTGAAGAGAGGCATGCCCGACTTCAGGTTGGCACGCTCGACATGGGTACGGACAAATGTACACAAAACCCAACACATGCTGCCCAAACCCGACAGCGACCGCTGTTTGGCAGTCGACCTTGTGTCTCAAGTGGACACCGTCCGCGGCGAAATCGACAGGAACTCCTGCTCAGAATGGGCATGAACTGCTGCGGGTCCTTGTCCCCAGATTACCCGCACTAACATCAAGTTGCAGAATAAGGATGTGCGGTAAGGATGCAGGAGCCCGAAAGGGCCAGGTCGGCGTTTTCGAATGGGGCTGGCCAGCGAAAGTCGCCAAGGATGGGCCGAAGGGGCAAGCATGCAAGGGCAGGCTTGCAAAATTGCTCCTCTTTACGATGCGACTTGACTGTATCCGTATCAATTTCGATCCTACCGGTGAAGGGCTTGTGGCTAAGACTCGCTTCGAAAGGCTCCTTCACCAGTGGGCCTGCCAAACACGCTGGCAGTCCCGCCCCGGCCTCCCCACCCCCAAGCCTCCACCGTATGGCAGCGGCGCTTCGTGAGGCCCTCAAGTAGAAAGCAGAAAAAGCACCCTGATAAGAAGCATCCCGACAAGCGAAGCCGTTGAGTAAGCGCACCCAAGGGAGAAATTGAACAAGACAGGGCTGTTTAGCAAGCGCCCCGGGCCGTTCAGTAAATGGCGATTGTTGGGGTCGGGGTGGCTTTTCCTTCCTTGACCAAGGGTCCCAGGAGGCCTCATGGTACCCCCGGGCGCCCCTCGCTCCAAGCATAGAAGAACAAAGAACGGCATGCACATGAGATTTCGACGGTTCGCGCGGACTTCTTGGATCTGCGCTGGACCCCCTCCATGGCTTGCGGGGCGCGCCGGGGGTAGCGCTGGAGGCGCCGCCAGGGGGGTCCAGCGACGATTCAAGAATCCTCGCGGAGCTCCGAAGGTCTTTGTTTATGCAGACTTTCTTATTCAAGCTGCCTCTTCCTGCTCATGCTGCGCCTCCAACTCCGCCCTCCTCTTTTTTCTCCTCCTCCTCCTCCTGCAAGTCGACTCTAGCGTCTCGAAGACGATGAAGACGGGAAGCCATGTTCGCATGCACCCGCCTGGTACATAATAGGTTGGAGCTGCTCGCATAACCCACCTCCTCCAGCGCCAAGCCAACAAATCTGTGCGGACCTCAGAACATTTACTAAGAAACTGGGAACACACATGGCTACATTCATATGAACACATCCAAAGGCCACTTGCTGGATACACATGCGGGATTCTGGCCTACACGGCCAGAAAAGGGCCGAGCGCCGGAAAGACATCTGGCCACATGTGTATCCAGACCTCGCCCAAGCTGGCCGTGCCATGTGTGTCCAGCTTCCTGGTTAGTTCACGTACGGCAGGTTCGTGCCGTGACGACCTCAGCGTTGATCTCTGACAAAGCCTGGATCGCTCTAACTTGAACGGTCGGCGGGTTCTCGATCGCCAGATCGTTCCATGTTGGCAGATCCTGGGCCACTGGCGGAGTCACCGCCGCGCCGACACGACACGAACCTGTCGCAGCTTCTTGCTTTTCGTTCGAGTATGGGATCGACTAGAGAATTCATGTGCCCCAAATTTGATTTTCCCGCCGAACCTGCGAACAAATATACCATGTCCCCGGACCCCCCCCCCCCGGACAACCCGGACACCCACTTCAAGATGCATACCATAAGCGTGCCAGCATGTGATTGTAGCTGGCGCTCGAGCTGCAGCACAATACCCACTTAGGGATGTGGCCAGCGCTGCGGCGAGACCACGCCTAATAATCAGGCATGGGGCCAGCGCGAAGCCGACACCACCAATCCCAGACGGGGATGTAGCCAGAACTCGGAAGAGAACACCATTCCCAATCACGGATGTTGCTGGCACTCGAGCGGCAACACCGTACGTACACAATAAAGGATTTGGCCGACATTGAGGCGAAAGTACCGTTCCCAATCAGGGACGTGGCCAGCGCGCAGTGCTGTGAGGATGTCTCACGCGGAACTGGCCAGACCAGCTTTCGCGCGGCATCGCATAACCCAGAATTATGAAGATGTCTTGGGTGCATCCCCGAGCCCTTATGTCTCTAGAAGAACTGGCTGGACCACCTCGCGCGCTGCATCTCCGAGTCCAGAGATACGGGGACGTCGGCATCTCCGAGCCCAGAATTGCGAGAATGCGTCAAGCCAAACTGACCAGACCACCCCCGTTAAGTTCAGTGCATCTCCGAACCCGGAGTTGCGAGGACGTCTCTGGCGAAACTGGCCCGGCTACTTCCGATGTTGGCGGATGTTTCTGAACGCCGGCCCCTCGGCCAGAAGTAGCTTCTACCGCAACAGGACCCCAGCCAGCACAGCTGTTTCGGGAATCGCGGTAAGGAAGGGCGTGCGAACGGGAGAGGCAGGGGGACCCGACAGACGAGGAACGGACAGGAGGGGAGGGGGGAAAGAGAGGCGACATTTCCAGCTGGGCTTCCCTGGTTGTGCCATGCTTTTGATGGTATGTCTGATAATGATATGTGCACGTGCCGGCAAGACAACGTGGCCCGGACAACCCCGTGGACAACCCCACAAAGATCTGGACCCCCCCGGGACACGCCTCCCCAGGATGTGTTCCATAAGATATGGCAGGTATGCGGTGAAAGGTCCGTGCATAGCATAGACGAAGACTATTAGTTGTCTCGTCGGCTCGATACAGAACTCGGGTGAATCAATTCTGTAGTCTCAAGTCGGGCCTGTCCCACTACAGGAGGATTTTCGACGAACAATAATGAATACCCCAAGAAATAATCAAAAACTAGTCCAAAAATAGTCTGGGGACAATTCTTTCATTATGTTTCTACCTTTTTTTTAGTGCATTTTTCAAATATTTTGTATTTTTCGTCGAGAATCCCCCTGTAGGGGGACACGCCCGACAGAACTCTAGTCCATCCCCTACTCGACTCTTCGGCTTCGGGCCACTGCTGCCGCAGCCCGCGCCGGCCCCGGCGCGCGAGGCTAGCCCCCTGGCTGGGTCGGGGGGGGGGGGACGGGCGCGAGCTCACCTCAGGCCGCGCCCGCGCTTGGAGACCCCCACGGGGCTCCGCAGGGACTCGCCATCGCTCGGACGTCCCTTCGCCGTGCCTGTCTCGGTCTCGTGCGTGCACTCTTGGTCAGGAGGCTCCTCGATGCCTCCCCGCCGTGAACAGATGCACGGCGGAGCGATGCCAAGGGGAGGCATGCCAGAGACGCCGAGCAGACCGCGTGAGAGAGAGAGAGAGAGAAAGAGAGGACGAGAGGAGGAGGAGGAGGAGGAGGAGGAGGAGGAGGAGGAGGAGGAGGAGGAGAGGAGGAGGAGGAGGAGGAGGAGGAGAAGGAGGAGGAGGAGGAGGAGGAGGAGGAGGAGGAGAGGACGAGGCGGAGGAGGCGGAGGAGGCGGTCGAAGCTTCGGGGATCGCCAGAGGGGTCCACGGCGGAAGGCGCCCCTCGAGGAGCGGCCCGCCTGCGGAGCACCGGTGGCGCGACCCCGTGGGCCTCGCGAGGCTCTGGAGGCTCTGGAGGCTCTGGAGGAGGAGGAGGAGGAGGAGGAGGAGGAGGAGGAGGAGGAGGATCGAGGAAGAGGAGGAGGAGAGGAGGAGGAGGAGGAGAGGAGGAGGAGGAGGAGGCTCGAGGAAGATCGAGGGCGAGGAGGAGGAGGACCCTCGGGCCAAGGACGCCTCCGGCAGGCCCAGGAACGGCGACCTCCCTCCCTCTGTGAGAGGCCCGCCTTGGCGGGTCGAGCGGGGAAGGGGTGCGCACCCCCTCCTCCTCCTCCTCCTCCTCCTCCTCCTCCTCCGTCCGCCTCCTCCTCCCTCCCTCCCTCCTCCCTCCCTCCCTCCCTCCTCTCCTCTCTCCTCCTCCTCCTCCTCCTCCTCGTCCTCCTCCTCGTCCTCCTCCTCGTCTTCCTCCTCGTCCTCCTCCTCGTCCTCCTCCTCCTCCTCCCCTGTAGGTGCATGGGCGGCGCTGAACCAATCCGACCAATCCCCATCCCCACTGGCGTGGCCTGGGCCCCAGTGGCCGATCTGCCCCCTGAGATGTGGATGTGGGCTGTCCCCCTCGGGTTTCGAGGGGCCTATCCCAAACTGGGGTGGTGGGAGGGTGAGGATGAGATACCATGGCCCGTCGGGTATGAGGATCAATGGAAAGATGCTAAACGCAATTCTCTGGGGCGCCGTTTCTTTCAGGAAAGCCCCCTCCCCCAGCCCCAGGGGAACGGGGGAGAGCGGGTAACGGCGACCTCGTGCCGTGCCGACGCGGGAACTGGATTCTCACACCGCGAGGATCGCTCAGCCTCGAGCATCTGCGGCGATTAGATACCGCCAGATCGTTCGATGCCGGTCGATTCTGGGCCCCTCCTTGGCTGCAGCCTTGAACGCCCCGATCTGAGGCTTCAAGACAGCCCCAAGAAGGCCCCAGAGGGCCCATGCTATCCCCAAGAGCACCCCACGAGAGCCGCATGGTAGTCCCAAGAGATGCCCTTCGAACTTACAATCGTGAACCTCACGTAGGCCTCCAACTTGGGAACCAAAAGATTGTGATTGATGGTCTCTGGGGCCTCACGAGGACCCAGAAAGCTTCCAAGATGGTATCAAAAGGGCACCGACTAAAATGTGAAGTTGGCCCCAATATTACTCCAAAAGGCCTCCACGAGGTCCCAGAGCTGCCTCGGATCATCCGTCCTTTGGTTTAACTCATGCCCCCCACCATCTGTGGTGGACTACACCTCGTCTTTTCTTCTCACGGCCGATCAGCCTGTGACAGTTGGCGGAGCCTCAAGAACTTGTCGACCTTCTCCGCTGCAACGCAACTCCAACATTCCATCTGCTGCTCCCGCCATTGCCCATCACACTCGCAACCACCGAACCTACCACAGACGTAATTTCCCGCGGGCACTGGCAAGCTGCTCATACAATCAACATGCAACATCACCCGTGGTCACAACAACACCCCGGCACCACGACACAGACTACACCGACTGCGCTGCTCAGCCCGCGACAAGAGTCTGCGAGTGGTCAGTGCTGTGGTAGTACACGTACCCTGAGACACCCTTCAGAAAGGCCTCGCGTGCTGCAAGCCACCAATGGGGGCAAGACGATGCAAGCCCGTGGCGGTCCATCCACAAGCAGCATGGGAACTAGGCAATGACATCAATCACGTACCAACGGCATGATCAGAAGATTCGCCGACGGTCTGGGGTCTTCGGCGTGTGCGATAGTTGCCCCTCCCCACACCTCCCCAGCAGTCTGGATCGGCCAATCTGGATGCTGGGGTCTCTCTGGATGTGCTGGCAGATCCACTTGGCCCAGAAGATCTCCCCGGCGCACACGAAGTTGTCCCACATTGGCCACAGACCGTCCAAGATGGCCTCTAGACGGCCAAGGACGGCTTCAAGGTGGCCCTTCAGAGGGCCCAAGACGCCACCGACACGGACCAGAACCAAACCGAGAGGACCCCCAAGACGACCTCCAGATGTCAAACGGACGCCTGCCTCTGCTTGAACAAAGAAGCACGCATCTCCCCCGCTGCGCACACTCCTGAGGATGAAGGGGCCCTGGGACACACAAAATAAATAGACACACGTAACAGGATTCCCCATAGTGTCCAATCTCTTCTGTGCCTTTGTCTTCCCCCCACTTCCCATATTTTCCATATTTTCTTGGGAATCGACGATTCATTGTGTCTGTGTGTTTTTGTTTCCCTCCTGGGAGGAGTCTATAGAGGCCTCCTGGATGGGGTCGGAGCAGATGGGGTCGGAGGATCGCGCCGCATCGCCGATGCATCGGCGATGCATCGTCGATGCACTGGCGATGCATCGTCGACGTGGGCGATGCATCGGCGACGTCGACGCGAAGCAAGTCGGGCTCCACATCCAGCCGCATCGGCGATGCATCGGCGATGCGGCGCGATCCTCCGACCCCATCTGCTCCGACCCCATCTGGGAGGCCTAGAGTCTATGAGGGGCCAGGGCCCAAAATTCACAAATCTCCCGGGGCTTGCCGCGTGCCGCCTGGGGCTTCCCGCGTGCCCCCGAAGACGGTCCAAAAGGGCCCCGGGTCGCCGAGCGGTCGTTCCAACTTCGCTCAGGATGCCCCCCCCCCCCCAACGGCCAGAGAGGCCTCCCAGACGCCCAAAGAGGCCTCCAGAAGGCCTCCCAAGAGGGCCCCAAGAGGCCAAACTCTTTGATTTACCCCAGGTGTTTGGAGGACTCTGCATGAAAGGACCAAACCCAACCGAGGACCGAGAACCGTGACCGGATCGGACCAAACCGGCCCCACACAAGAAAAAATCAAAAACCGAACCGGATTTCACTTATGAGAACCGAACCGGGGGGAACCGAACCGAACCAGAACCGGAAACGAACCGGGACGGGGCGGCCCCCGAACCGAACTGCCCAGAGGTCCCAGAGATCCAAAATCTGGATCCATAGAATCAGAGATCCAAAATGTATCAATGGACCCAAAAGTGTACAATGGATCCAAAATCACTCAAAGGATCCATTTTTCAAAAAAATCGTTCATGGATCCATTTTCTTGAAAATCGGCCCATGGATCCATTTTTAGAAAAAAAACATAGTATCATGAACAATACATGCGTAGTTGTGAATTTGAAATTTCGGGTTGTGGTTACTTGACATATCCATGGGGTCATAGTTCTTGCATGCATATATCAGTTGGCCTGCATCAAGAACCCCAAAAAGCTCCAAGCCCCAATGCATCCCCGAAAAGGCTTCCCGAGGTTTCTTCAGAGATACCCTCAGAAGTGGGCCGAGCGGGTTCTGCCGAAGGCATGTGAGTAAGTGTGTGTGTGCGTGTGTGTGTGTGTGTGTGTATGTGTGTATGCGTGCGTGTGTGTGCGCGTCAAAAAGGCACTATACTCCTCCCCCTCCTCTTTCGGCGCCGAGTTCGCCGAGAGGAGCAACACGGGGTGGGGAGGAAAGAGTCCTGACCTGTGTTCCTCGTCCCGTCGTCCTCCCCTGCCCTTTCCAAAAAGGTTGCGTCGGGCCGCGTATTTCTCTCCGCGCGGCGGTGCAAACACCGTCCGTCCACGGAGTGCATCTGAATGGCGTGGGCAAGAGAGCGGACCAACATTTTTGAATCACCCCCCTTCCAAGGGGGAGGATGGGAGGAGGAGGAGGAGGAGGAGGAGGAGGAGGAGGAGGAGGAGGAGGAGGAGGAGGAGGAGGGGGAGGAGGAGGAGGAGGAGGGGTTCCGCCACGACCCCGAGCTCGCAGCGGCCAGAGGTTCCCGCCCGACTCCGAATCTCACAATAATGGGCGCGGGGTTAAACATCATTACTGTTTGGCGACTCGTTTTGGACCCCTTCCCAGGAACGGTGCAACTGCGCCAACATCCGAAGAAACAACCAAGGGTCTCAAATCGAGACCCCCCCGCACTCTTGTTTGAGAAGGCCCGTCAGACCCCCTTCACAAGTATACGTCCTTCCCATTATCAGGAGATTCGGAGAAAGCTCGTTCCAAGATCCACGAGCGGAGCCAATCCTTGTGTTCCACCTCCATTTTCCTCCACCTCCTCCACTTTCTCCTCCTCATCCTCCTCGTCCCCCTCCTCCTCCTCCTCCTCCTTTTCCTCCTCTTCCTCCTCTCCGTCCTGTCACCCCCTGCAGCGCACGCGCTCTGTTGCCCACGCCGATGGTCGACCCTCGCCTGCGTAGCGCAGGCCTTCATGTTGTAGTTGCCCACAATGAGGAATATCATCCTTGAAGGCCTTCACCGAATAGTGAATACCATGCACATGCAAATAGTACTGCATCAATTTCCGAGGTGGACAAGAGAGTGGACCAACATTTTTGGATCACCCCCCTTCCAAGGGGGAGGAGGGGAGGAGGAGGAGGAGGAGGAGGAGGAGGAGGAGGAGGGGGAGGAGGAGGAGGGGTTCCGCCACGACCCCGAGCTCAAAGCTCGCTCCAAGATCCACGAGCGGAGCACGGCCAGACGGTCTCTACCAGACCCAATCCTTGTCTTCCACCTCCATCATCCGCCACCTCCTCCACTTTCTCCTCCTCATCCTCCTCATCCCCCTCCTCGTCCTCCTCCTCCTCATCCTCCTCCTTTTCCTCTTCTTTCTCCTCTCCGTCCTCCTTCACCCCCTGAATCGCACGCGCCCTGTTGCCCACGCCGATGGTCGACTCTCGCCTGCGTAGTGCAGGCCTTCATGTTGCAGTTGCCCACAATCTCTATGAGGAACATCATCCTTGAAGGCCTTCACCGAATAGCGAATACAATACATATGCAGCTAAATACATCAATTTCCGAGGCCGAAGGTATCGCATCAATTTCCGAGGCTGTGCATCTTTGCCGAAGGTATTGCATCAATTTCCGAGGCCGAAGGTATACTGCATGAGTTTCCGAGTCATTGCATCCTTGCCGAAGGTGTCCTGTAGTTGCCCTTGGCCGCTGCGAGTTTCCATCCCCTGGTAAGTGCTTTCCCGTACCCAGCTGGGTAGTGTTCCGAATGTTGAAGATCCTTCCCTCCAATGACATACTTCCCGTTAGGCGAGACCCAGTGGAAACGGTTCTTGAGGCTTTTGTTCTGTTTGATCTTCGGCTTTGGGCGCTCGATGGAATTCCAAGCCAACGTGGGCAGCGTGGTACTCAAATGAACTGCTTTTGGAATAACTGGCCGAGGTTGGAATGACCCCAAATAAGTCAAACATACTCCCGAGCCAATAATCCTAGCCGATTGTTCAATTGATGGGTACTTAAACAGCAGGCTTGATTTGGGTTTCTCTAGGACTGACCAAACAAACCGAATAGCAGCCAAACTGAGCAGCCACGCAGCGATGTCCGCCTGGAAGTTAGCCTCGGCCACCCTCGGCACAGATACGTTCCCCATGATATTTGATCCGCTGCGTCCTGAAGTCCCCGCATATATAAAGTTGAGCCACATCCCACAAGGCACCTGAAGACTCGTGTACTGGAGGCTCTGACATGCCCCCCCTGTCTGGTGGACGGCGGAGGTGGGGGGAGGAGAACTTGACCAGGATGTCAGGAAAACGATGTCAAAAACAGAGAGGTCAAAACAATGAAACATCGCTGAAACATCTAGCAGATCTGTTCGCTCGATCCTCGTCCTCCTGCAACACTTTTCCCGTGTATGCACCGCAATCGTGAAGATACCTTTGGGTTTCACTCTGAGCAGGGTCAGGCCCGCGTGCAGCATCCCTGAAAAAGTGCAGATGTCTTCCGAGCTGTCCCTGGTGAATTTGTCAAACTCCATGGTTCTGAAACCCAGCTTTCGGAACTCTTTGGACTGGCTGCCACAGCCAGAGAAAACCTCACACAGGAGGGGTTTATTCATTTTTACTCCCTCCTCCTCCTCCACCTCTTCCTCCTCCTCCTCCTCCTCCTCCTCCTCCCTCGGCCTCCTGTTTTCCTTGGCTTGTGTTTTGCTGTTGTCTCCTCATCCTTCTCCTCCTTCAGCCTCGAACTGATCAATGTTGCGTTCCACTGCGCCCATCCGCAAACTGACCACCTCCGCTGCCTTCAGCAACTTCTGGTAGGGATTCAGCTCCAGGGACGGGTTGGCTTTCAGGATCTCGTTTGCCAGGTCCCTGGTGCTCTGAGGAACTCCGAGATGCCCCCCTTGCACGTGCCGGTGCAGAATTGGCCGCCGCTTCACCATGCAATATGCGGCGGGGTACAGCAGGAGGCTCCTTCTGGGAGGCCCCTCCCCTACCAACGCCCCATTCCCCCCCCTCCAGCGGGCCCCCACAAGACACCCCGCCAACATCCAGACCGGATCCCCACACGATTGTGCAAACGTGTTTTGGATGCCGAGGCTCGCTCCTCACCGAACTTTCGAGGAATAACCAAATAAACTTAAATTGATGCTGAGACAGCTGCAAAGCAAAGGCGATGCATTGATTGAAACTGCATTGCGGCACCATTGCGTTGTGTCCTCCTTTTCCTCCCTCCTCACCCTTCCTCACCCTTCCTCACCCCTTGCGTATGCCGAGGTCCTCTCTCGCCCACGTAACCATACCGTCTAAATACTGATCGCTCGAAAGTACATCGATGTGTCATATGAGCCATAGAGCCAA